CAGGGGTACAGACTTAACGTGCATCCTTACCTTTGAGCCGGCAACTGAAACTCATCTTTATGTGCTAGCCAGCAGACCCGCCTTGAGATGGGACGGGCTTAAAAGGTGACCTAACCATCACACAGCACAACCATGACTTACTCTGCTTGCCCGAAGAAAGAAAATACATATTTAGTATAAAGAGAAAATATAAGCAATGGAAGAGTTACAGTAATAGGTTGCAATAAATGAAAATATTGAGTGCATTTTAAATGATTAATGGGTGAAAACTGTCATCACTTACTGTGCATTAATCAAGAAAAAATGCACACGTCTCATAGTGGTTAATGGGGCAGGCCCACTGCTCCGCTCTGATAATGTGCATAAGGATGCTCAGTATGACAATGAGTTGGGGTAGCTGAAAATTTAGGATGGTTGCAAGTTTGGTGTAGTATTTGGATTAGCATCTTTATCTGTGCCTTGTCAGCCTCATCGGTACACATACTACGTATTTGTTTTTTTAAACTGGCAAAAATATATGGATACATTTTTTAAAACTTTTTTTTTTTCAATAAAGGATCATGACCAAGGTACCTGCTTAAACAAATACTACCAGCATTCATTAGTTCAGGATGGTTACATGTAAAAGAAATGATGCCAGATAGTAACAAATCCAAGAGAAGTTTATTATGAAAATGGCACCTGCGGATGAAAAATTAAGTTACATAAAGACAACCATGTATGTGACATGTATGAGGATCTACAAAAGTATAAAAAGAACCCTGTTGTAAATGAAGTATGTACATTTTCTGATTTGCAGCATTATCAATGGTCAATGAAAAGAAATGTTTCAAAATAAGCCAGGCACTCAGGAAGTTAGGTCCGGTTAGCTTCACACAAAACAAATGTACCATAGCTGTCGCTTTGTAACATTTTAATTTTTTTTATATGCTGTAGAGTTGGTAACACTGCTAAGATTTTTTACGAACAGAATATCCCTTTCCCCCTTCTTCAGCTACTTGGCACCAGTCTCCTCATAAAAGTTTTCATATATTTGTACAAGAAATAGTTAAAAACACAGACACAGTCTTCACAGGTAATGGATGTTTTTTCATTTTGTAATTTTAAACACTATGGATTGAGACAGCAGCTGTGATTATCTGTTAGTTTAAATCACCAGAAATCATTTCGACACAACACGGAAACATTTAGAAAAGAAAGAAAGGAAGGAAGGAAAACAAAATCAAACACAAACAGCTGTCTAGCTGTTCCTAGTAGCTGATAGGTGCATTCCTTTGATTGTTCGATAGCTAGAGTAGAGCTTCCAAAATTGATCTTTAAATTTCCCGATCAGTCTTCTCCGCCTTCTAAGCCTACAGGACGCCTTCCAGAAAGCGCACTATTCCGATTTGTGGCGTATGTTACGAGTCCCTCATGGTTTGGGCCCAACTCGCGGAATTCAGAGGTCCTGGAGAACCCACCCCACACAGTGATATTCAAAGGACAGCCAAGTTACTATATTTAGCATTGCACGCATAAACAAATATATGACAATTCTATATTCCATTCCCCCCTCCCCTTTTATTCTTTTTTTAAAAAAAATGGTGGTTGACCTTTGAGATAGTTTTCTGTTTCACTAGTAATTGCTTTACATATTGCTCCATCAGCCAACCCGGAAGGAAACCAAAGAAAAGCACCCACTGCTTATAGGTCGAGCACAAGGGACTCTGGGAATGTTAACAGCTGAGGCTCTATGGCATCGGTTCATTGAACAGATCTGAGCATTAGTCTTCCGTGCTTTGTGTTGCGCTCCAGAAGAGAGAGTCATACCCAGAATTCCGTTGTGGGGAAAAAAAATGGCTCCATTAACCTTGAGCTAGTTAAGAGTCTTTTTATCTCTGAGAATGAAATCGCTTTGTGGGGAGGCAGGGTAGGGGAGGCAGAGGAGGGCAGGGAAGACTTGGGAAGGAGATAAAAAGGGAGAGGCAGGGAGAATATACATCAGCAAAGCAACAGCAGGAGCTTTTGAAAGGAAAAACGGAAGGTTCACAGACAGTAGAAGCAGCATAGGGTGACATTACAGAGGAAGGCCACCATACAAAAACCACTAACCCCCAAGAATCACTGGTTCACTAGGACTGCGGGAATGGGACTGTACCACTCCGGACTAGAGATAGAGCACAGAGAAGACGAAGGACGAACAACTACGTTAGCTTAGTATATACTGCATATAGAAACACACATTGAAACGGCAATGGACTGACAGCCAAGGACACGTACACAGGGTACACATTACAGTTCTCACATCTGTTATTAGATGCTGTAACAAACAGCTGCCAAAAATGGAGTGGAAGAAGAATTTATACTTGACAGTCATTTGGAGTGTTTGACACTACACTGATTTCTGGCAACAAAGACAAAATAGGATATTTTTTTCTTTTTCTTTTTCTCTTTTTTTTTCTTTTACTTAATGTGCAGTTTTCTGTTGCAGTTTTCTACTTGAAGCTTATTAACCCATTCTTTAGTTTTAAAACGTATTGGTTTCAACCTAGAAAGAAGAGACCCAAACGGAACCAATATTCCATCAAATCAGTTCAGTCCCCCGAAACACCTTTCCTTTTTTTTTTCCAAGCAAGAAATGAAACAAACAAAAACTCAACAAAACCAAAAAATGCTCAATAGTTTCCCTTCTTTGACTCAAGCGTTATTGAAGTTGCAAAATTAGCCTCAGTTAGACTGAGAAAAAAAAAAAAAAAAGCTCAACAAAAGGCAATATGTACCTAAACTGCTCCTCAAATCAGTTTGATTGAGTTTTCCAAAAGCCCTTTTAAAAAGGGCTT